TCTCTCTCTCTCTCTCTCTCTCTCTCTCTCTCTCTCTCTCTCTCTCTGCTACACACAAACACACTGACACATGCGCGTGAGGAAGCCCAAATCCAATTTTGTACATAGATGTGAGACACAAACAGTTTATGTTAGCCTAAATAATCCAGTCACACCAGATACAATGCAGAAAATGATAAGGATGTGCTGTGGTGCAACATCATGCACTGTGTGCGTGCGTGCGTGCGTGTGTGTATGTGTATGTGTAAGTGTATGTGTTAGTGTGTGAGGTGTAATGGGTCACCAGATTCAACCACAGATCAGGACCAAGGACAGCGACCATCATAATTGTATTCACTACCAGAAATGAAAAAATAAAATATGTATACTATATACGTATATATATATATATATATAAAATCATATTAAATCAAGACATTCTGTATTGGGTCCTCACTGTCTGTGAAGGATTCAGCAAAACTGGAATGAGGCTTCAAGCGACCTGGGAAATTCATCTTTCCTATTGTTAAGTTCTACGAAGGAATAAGATACACACCCTGATGGGAGTGCCTCCAGCATCTGCAATGCAGGAGGCTTATCAAAGGGAGTGGAGCATGGACATGATGTGAACCACATGTTACCACCTATGTGAGATTCTGGACTGATGTGTCGAAGGCTTCACTTTGCTTCAAACAAGCGAGTTTGTACTGAGCGTTGTCACAAGGTGTCTGAAGGAGAAAGTTTGTATCGGGTGAAGAGTCTTCTGTCATAGGGAGGGTCGACATCGCACAGCTCGGCCAATTGCAGCGTGAAGCGAGCGTGTTTGTCGGTTGTGAAAGATGTCGAGAGCAGCAGATGGAGGATGCGCGTTGACTCGTTGCTCTGCGATTCACAGTGCTGTCCATCGCACAGTGTGAATGCCTCAAAATTCATAATGGGATGTCTGCTGTCTGACACGGATTGAGAACAAGATCTTATTTGACCCCCTCGCGCACAGTGTGGCGTGATATGAACCTACAAGATCTCTGTAATGTTTCTGTCTCACATTGTTTGCAGAGGCTGGCTCAGGGGTTAGAGCAGGCGTCCATTAATCAGAAGTTTGACCCCTGCGGTCTACGTGTCTCTGCTATCAGTGTGTGTGAATGTTTAGCGCTCCTGATGAGCAGGCGGCCTCTTGTGTGGAAGCCTCTGCCACCACGGTATGAATGGATGAATTTACCTTCAAAGCCTCCTGTATCCTTAAACCAAATGCTCATTGAATCATGTGACAGCGGCTGAACCCTCTTTTCGGCCGGTGAGAAGGGGAAATGGGGACAGTTTCTGCAACAGCAAATGCCACAAATTCCTTTGAAGAGAGGCTGTCCAAAAGTGTGCGCCTTTATCTCCATTTGTATGCTTTCTGGTGTTGCAACAATAAACACTGCACTGCAAACGCTGCTCTTGGAGAGGGATCGGGGAGGCAGTGGGATGCAGCCAGGCCGAGGCCACGATGGCATGCTTTTCACTTCGACTTTGGTCATTTCTGAACAAGCATTATGTCTTTAGGCATGATCAAGCAACATGTAGTGCAACATGCAAAGCTTCCGGCACCCTTTAGACAGCGCTCTCCACCGCCATCATCAATACACCCAAAGATGGAATGTTGGAAGATGGTGTTCATCCCATCAGTAGAGTTCTGTGGAGAATCTATTGACAACACCTAATGTTGCTTTCTACTGTAATTTGTCACATATTTATAAATCACAATCGATGTGATTCACAATGCTTGTGAACGCTTTTTGGGAATCTAAATCATTATACTACTAACAGTTATGATGATGCATGAACAGAGGTGGTAGGAGGAGGAGGAGGAGGAGGAGGAGGAGGAAGAGTAGGCCTTTAGAAGAGTGGCTCTAAAAATATATTCTCTCTATCTTACTCGCTTGCTCTTTGTGATTGATGTATGACTCTTCTCATCTACATTTGAAAATGAAAAGCAGAGATGTAAATCCTTTGGGAATAGAGACTAAACACACATCTAGCATTCCCCACCGTAAATAAAAAACACTATTATAATCAACTCAAGCAGTGGTCAGCGAATATTACTAATACTCTCTGGTAAAATTGTCTGTTTTCGTCTTTGTAAACCTGCTTATTCTCGGTGCTCTATGTCCTTTTTTTTATTTATCATTGTTGTTTTTTATTAGCTGCCAGATCATTTACAAGAGATAATTACAAATATTTGATGTCACACCTGTTTGGACAATTATACACCAAAAAAGTAATAAAAAACAAGAAACTACAAAACAATGAAAGAAAAACAAGTTCAAATAAATTCCCATTAGATTAATCATGTTAAACACTTTTTCATCCCAACCTGCTGGGCGTCACTTTCCTAACGTGCTGGTTAGCCCAGCGCAACAAACTATGACGCTCCACTACGGTCACAGAAAACACGCAGTTAACGTTGTGAATTCAAACAACAGCACTTGAGCAACAAAACCGCTTTAATCAGGAGAGACAAGTCAGAAGAAGAAAAGATAAAGTTTATTATTAACAGATGATATGTCTTGACAGAGTCTTTGGCACTTGGACTCTACAGGGACATTTGTAATCGAGGGGCATCTGCTCTGAGCAGCAGCAACATAAATCCCATTGTGGAGTCTAGACACTGGTGGTGGTGGCTGATGAGGCTGAATGATGAGTTGATGAATATGATGAATCTGCAAAGACTGGGCGGAGATGGAGAGGTAGAGGGGCGAGTGACAGCAGCATGAACATACTGAAGGTACAGAGACAATCATATTTAAATGAGACAGCAGCAACATGATAGGCTCAACGATGTCATTATTTTGCTGTGCTATTGGATAGAGACCAGCTGATCTAAACAGCTGATATCATGATTGACAGCCCCAAACAATGACAGCAAGGAAATAATGAGTGAGCATGCTTGAGGAGTGAATGGCAGATGTATGAGAGATAAACTAAGCATACAAGAGTGTAGTCTTCCTGACTGAACATACGCTATAAAGTAAAATGTAAACAACGTAACAAAAGTATGGAAAACGAACACGAACACCGGTGTCCTGGTTGAAAGTCCTGTGTTTGTTCGACCCTCCCACCCTGTGTGTGTGTGTTTTTTTTTCTTTATATTACATCACACTCCCGGATGATATTCTCTGATCGTCTCATAATGACACCTATGGGTTTACCCTGTAGCTACTTCAAAGCCTGTTGCGTCTCATACAAACGATAAAGGGTAATACTAATACTAATACTACTCTATAATACAATACAACTGTTAAAGATCAAATTGAACAATTAAAGAATATAACACTGGAAGTATGAAAAATTATAGTTGTAATGTTACTTTACTTGATTTATCCAACAATTCTCACCTTTACAGTGTCTGCAGACATGAAAAACAATAGGTTCATTCCCTATATGGCATATTTTGCAGGCATCAATTACTCGTACCAAACAGAACTATATACACCACAAGATAGCTGGGAGGACAAAAAAAATGTATTGATAAATTAGCTTGGTGTATTCTGTGGGAATATGTAAACATTTCCATTCTGTATCTATTTGATGAACTATGTCCTTCCAGTCATAAACCAAGGGAGCTCCGTGTTCTTCTGCTAGAAGATGGAAGGAAAATGGCGACAGAGTTGCCGCAGGGTTACAAAAGTCGGAGGTGTGCCGTCATATATATTTGCACTGTCGGAGAAATGAGCTCTGTATTTGATGTGCGGCACATTTTTTTCCACAAAGTGCACCGGATTTAACTTGTTTTTGTCGACTTCCAATTTTCTTAAGAAGATCCTCACCACCACCAAACATCTGAGCTGTGTCTGATTTCTCTTTTTCATCTCACCCTCATGCTAAAAGTCAGTGGATTTCATTCTACTTGTATTGCCCATCCTGCCGTCGTTCAGCTCTCCCACACAGTGTGTAGTGGTGACTCAGGCACCTCAAGTCTGCCTTCATCTTCCACCCCGAGATCACTATATGTCTCATAAATAGTACGTATGTTTATCAACACACACACACACACACACACACACACAGGCTGGCCAATCTGAAGAAATCGTGATCGGGAATTGAGCATCATCACTAATTGATCCTCTTTTTTAATTCTGACAGTGGAATAATATGCTGCTGTATGGCGTTGCCATAGCAACTGGCCCATTTCAATGCAGGGCGATGTGGAGTGCTGCTTGAAGAAAGGGAGGGGGGTAATTGGGGATGTTTTGGTGGCAATGGGGGGTTGGTTGGTAAGGATGTGCGTGGAGAAGGGGGGTTGTGAGCTGCCTGAAAGGAAAGAAAGAGTTAAGAGACAGAAAATGGTCTCAATGCATTCAGAGCATTCGGACAAAAAACACCCGTCAAGCACACTGGCAGCGACAAAAAAAAACCTCAATCCATCAAAACATGAAGAGCCGAGGGTTGGAGCTCGGATTTGCACAAGAAAACAAATCTATTTTCAACTCATAATCATGCTGACGCTGGAATTAAAGGGACTGAGCTATTAAGACTTGGATCAATCTCACCTCAACTGCAAGCTATTGACACCGGTACCTCTGCTCAGATCCATAGTTCACAGATACTTCTCCAGCAGAGAAGAAGAAACACCTTGAGTACCTGATTGATTGACGTCTAGTTCTTGTGAGCTGCAGACCCAACCCTCTAAATCAACACTCACTATTATACCAACAGAGAAGCATAAATCAACACCGTCTCCGTGTCCTGAAGCCTGTAACCCCGCCGTTAGACACTCTGGCAGATTTACAAACTACGTATCATTAGGGAGGTATTTAGTAGCTTATCATATTAAAACACGGCTACCCAAAGGCTCAAAAATGCAAAATAATTCAATGTCCTAGAGCGAAGATGCATAGAAGTGCTATTCATAGATCTCAATTCCACTTCCACTCTTTGTCTGCAGCTCAGTTCTTCTCAGCTCAATTTAATTCATCTTCTTTAAGCTGGACAGACGCTCATGGTTTTTTAA